CCCCAAAACCCCAAAACCCCAAAACCCCATGTATTGCATTTTTGACCAATATAGTTATCATAGAATTATAATTATTTCATTAAAAAATAGTAAAATGTCCACAAAATTTAAAATTACAGATCTTGTAAAATATAAAAGTAAGATGCTTGAATTATTTGATAAAGCTTTTAAAGATCTAAAGGCTATAGAAAATACTGAAAATAGTACTTCAAAAATTACCCAATATATAGACAACTTTTTTAAAACATAGATATATTTGCTTAGAAGCATTATAGGTGACTTGAATCATTTTAAACAAATACTTTTGAAAACAATAAAATTACTTCCTATTAATTAAGATGATGAACTAATTTATCTTCTCAATTAACTTACTATCGATAAATCAGGCAACACTTCAGAAACTCAGAACGAAAAATAGAGTTCCTCTACTAGTTCGTAAAAAAACACAAGATAGAGAAGCCACTCTAAAAATTCAAGATAGTCAAGTCAGAATATAAATTCTCTAATACCGGTCTAATCTAAATCACTAGAGAGGTTGTAGAATTAATAATCTAACTTAGGTTCAAATAAAGAAGATGAAATTCTGAAAAAGTTAGATACTATTTAATAAACTATACTAGATTTAAATAGAGATATGTTACATTAGCAGGAGATATAAGAGAATATTTAAACAAATTTTTCAAATGAAATAAAGCGGGAAGAATTAAAATAATAGAGCCAAAATTATCAATAAACAAATAATTTAAATCAGTTTGTTTTAAATACTAAAGGGTAAAACTAGAGAGTTGAGACTCAAGATTTAAAACTGAATGGTTTAAGGATTTAAGCTTAAGATTCTTTAAAAGAAGATTAAAATTCAAGTTAACTTCTTAGATATCCTAGTTTAGAATCATAATAGCTAGATTCTAATTGAAACTTATCATTCAATGATATTTAGAACAAGAATGAGATTTATACTTTAAAAAACTATTCAGAAATTGGTTAAAAATCAAATTAGATTTCAAATGAAGTCTTAAATAAATAGCTAAAAGGAGATGGATATGTGACATCAGAAGTCTCAAAGATGGCAATATTTGAGCAAGAGGAAAAAAAATAAAGCGATGAAGTTTAGATAAACACTTTTATAAAGGTACCTGAGGATAATGAAAGAAGTATATTATCAGCTGATCCACAAATTTAGAGAGGTGGATTAAGAAAATTAAGTAAAGAACTTCAAGCTATGTTCAAGTAATGCGTTGATGATAAGAGGAGAATAAAGCTAGAAAATGAAAAAAAATAGACGGTACTCTTCGTTAATAGCCGAGATGGAAATATTTTCTTTGGCTAAAACGATTCGAATTTATGGTCGTATAATGTTAATGACTTTGAAGAGATAAGTTAAATGTAAATTCCAGCTGAAGCTATGTCAATCCTTTCATTTGGTGGTTTTATCTATTTGGGATTAAATAATGATTCGGTTTGCATTTATGATATAGAAGAGATGTACGATTTTGTTAAAGATGTTAAAACATCCAGTGTTCCTCTTAAAATAATTCCATACATCCATCAACATTAAAATCGAAGTAATGAAAGCAAGTATATTGTCTTTTTAGAAAAAGATGGATTTATTGAATTCTTTAGCATTGAAAAAATGGAGATAATCTTCAGATTTTAGCACTCATGCAAATTCAGTATTTAGGATGCTATTCAGGTGATTAATAAGAATGAAATATGTATAGGATTCGCACAGCTAATTGATAATGCTTATAAAGATGGAAAATTATCATTCATTGAAATCATCTTTAATGATTAAAAGGCTGAGGAGGAGATTAGTATAGAAGAGATAGAAGAAGTGGAATAATTTAATAAAAAATCAGTGTTTTGCATTTAATAGATCTCTCTTAACTGCTTTGTAGTCTGCGTTGTCGATAAAAGTATGAAAGTTTTCAATAGACTGAAACCAAAGATTATACAAGACATACATAATCCCTCCTAGAGTATTTTTACATATTTAACTTTATGATAATTTGTTAGGTATAAATTATAACGCATTGAGAAAAATTATTTCCTTTGATGAAGAGAATCCGTATCTGCTTTATAGAGATTCGAGGAGTATAGGTATAATCAATTGCAAGACTCTTACCGCTTATACTATCGTTCCTGATATAAATTATAGCCGGTGTGGTAACGTTTATAGTCTAGAGTAATTTAGAGAAACTGATGGAAAACTGAGTGTCTATACATTCACTTATGATAGAGATAAAAATCAAAGAGAATTGAGACATTTCCTACTCAGTTTACATTTGTTCCCTTAAAAATCAAAATGATGCTTGATTGAGAAGTCATAGGTTTCTTGATTTTTAATGGATTAAATAATGCTATTGTGAAAATATAATAATAGCATTAACATGCATGACTTGATTATAAATTATGCATTTATTAAAAATCTTTAAATATTGCTTATTAATCATTAGCGGGGTTTTGGGGTTTTGGGG